GTGCAATGGCGCATGTCCATAGCCTCAAGACTGAGAAGATGTAGACTGAGGCAAGAAAATGGTGAGCTCAAGGCCAACCTTAAAGTTGTACAGTGAGATCCTGTATCTGGGGTTGGGTATGGGGTCAATAAATATCCCATTTACTGCCACAACATCACTTTTATACTCAGTTAAAGATTATAAATAGCATTCATTTATAGTCACTCAACATCCTATTTAGAAGATATACATATTGCTCATTAAAATCTTTAAGACCTTTTGCATTTGTTTTCAGACAGAGACTCATTATGTAGACCAGGATGGTTTGGAGCTCGCATCCTGTCTCAGTTTTTAAAGGCATTGCTAATAAATCTCTTCCATGGGTAATATTTTCTGATATATACTGTATATCTGGCCATCAGCCTAGAAGAAAACTTTTGGTTCCTAATGAATTGCTAGCCTATGAGAGAGACTATGAACTTGCTTTTATATTACTATAACCAAGAAAAGGAAGAATTTAAACTTATTTTGTTATGTTTTGTTATAATTGAGTTGAGAGACTTTCGTGTCAAAAGGCAAGACAGAGGGGGTCCAGAGGCATGCTCAATCACAGAATCACAGCTGCCTCAACCTCCTGACCTCTAGAAGGCTGGCTCTAGGAGGCCTAAGGATGTCAGCATTCCAACCATGCTTTCAAAATAATCCATTGGCTAAGATGTGCTTGCCTGTCATCTGTCATAGGAAGATGTTTCTGAGTCAGTTCATAGCTCTATACTATAATACTTCGAGATACTGAGTCACATCTATCAACTGTGTGCACCCATGTGAAAAAGACATACATATTCTAGTTAATCCTGTGGGTCATACTAAGTCAAGGTATTCTTAGTATAAGCTAAGAAAATAATGATCAAACTGAATAGTTTAAAGGGCCTGATGAGCGGAGGAGCAGTCACCCTCACATAACAATAGCGACACATTGTAAGTCAGAAAATTCATTATTTGCTGTTATCTTAACCTGAATATCCCTTGACTTGCCTTCTTTAATCCTCTAGCTACAGTCTTAATTTGTTTTCTCCCTACACTTTCTGAACATTTATTTTTACTCCTAAATAAGCTATTTGTCCAGAAATGCTATGGCTAAAGTGCTCTGTCTGCACAAAAGGTGCTTTTAGCAGACCAGATATGCACAGCTAAGCTGTGCTTGCAAAACTGTTTTTCTTAAAGTGCAGTCAATTGACCATACACCAGCACTAATTCGCTCCTAACCAGTAAAGCATGTGCACACAGTGCCCATGTGACACTCACTGCAGCCATGGAGGCTGACTGCTTGCTTATACATGCAGTTAAGACAAGTTTTAGTGCAGCCGCCAGCCTTGGCTTAGGACAGCACACCTGATACCTCCATTTAATGCCAAAGGCTGTTTCCATTTCCCCAGCACTACGTCTTGTGCTTCCTCTCTGAATCAAAGCTTCTCCCACATAAATCCTGGAAAAACTGCTTAGAACCAGTGTGCTGTAAACATTCTGACATCACCATCATAATGCCCAAATGGAATGGTAACACACCTTAACGGTGATGTAAAAATTATGTCCAAAGTGTTTCCAAAGTCAATTTTTATTTGTATTTTTCTCAGACTTCAGACTAATTATAGAGGTGCTGAAAATTCCATCTTGAAGGACAGTGATTAAGCATGTGATGGATTTCAAGGGTTTTATTTTATTATTTGGGGTGTTCAGCCTGTGCCTCGTTTTATACTAATTTCAGTCATGGGAAAAGATAAATATCCTGAGGGACACCACCTTCACCTATGTATTTCTCAATGGCAGTTGTTATTGACAATAATCTCACCTATGGGAGGTCTGATTATAGATACCAGGATATGTTCTGGAAACTCCATAGCTGGGTACTGCAGCAAATTCACTTCCTACTTGGTATAAAAGAGTAAATTCACTTCTTACTTGAGATATAATAGTATTGGAGAATGAACAAACCAGTGACATGAGTATCCAGCTTATTCAAATGAAATCAAATATATTTCAGGTTAAAAAAAGTGCCAGCTAACGTTTTAGTGACTTAGTTTAAATTTCCACATACATTACATAAACTCACTATGCAAATTACATTCTTGTAAATATTCCATCTTTTGTTTGACCTTTAGAGTATACATCTTTGATTATACCCCCATAGCAGGAGAAATGGAGGAGAATAGGAAAGGGATGGTAATGCGGAAATATTAAGATATACAAAATGGGGATGTCCTATTGAGAGTGAAATCACTTACGTGAAAAATCAAGAAAGCAGAGAACTAAAGGTCTGCATGCCGCTCTCCAGGCCAAAACCGGAACCCAAAGAGAAAGAGTCCCCTTCCCCTAGCTCTTTTTATCCCCTGTATGTTCTATGTACCTGTGAACACACCCACACAGGTGTGGTCAACGCTATTAGTAGACCTCTCCCTAAAGGATGGTATCATCTTCAGATGTAACACTCAAATCCATCTTCTCGACTGCTTGCATTTAAGATTCCAGAAATAGGTCGGTCTATGATCACAGGTCTCCGGTTGGCTGAGACAGGAGGCTTGCAGATTCAGAGCTAGCTTAGGAGAGATGGTTCTACAGTTCAGAGAACTTATTGCTCTTTCAGAGGACTCCAGCATCCATGATGCATCACAATCATCTGCAACTCCAGTACCATGGAATCCTGTGCCCCTTTCTGTCCTTCACAGACCCCAGACAAGCATGGCATGCACAGACATACATACAGGCAAAAGACTTATACACATAGATGAAATAAGTAAAATAAAACATTTAAATGTAAAACCTGACTGGAAAAATGAATTCTAGGCAAGTCTAGGAAACATATTAAGACCCAGTGTCAAAATAAAAATAAAAATATATATCATTGGCAGAGCCAAGGCCCTAAGTTCAATCTCAAGTACTGGAAATAAGTTTTCAGTGAGCTATCTTCTGAAAGTCATTCTACTTCAAAAAGAAAATGTGAGTTCTCAAAATAATACATGGGCTTTCCTAATGTTGTCTACAGAATTTTTCTTTTTCTTTTCTTATTCTTTTTTTAAATGATAAAATTAAATTCAATGAATTAAAAAACTGCTCCAGTAAAGGTACAGGGACATGGCTTTTTGTTAGATTTGTGAATTCAATTACTATTCTTCATTTTCCTCAAAGGGGACTTAGACAAATGACTTAACTACTGTTTGACTCTATTTATTCATCTGTGAAGGGCTCAATAAAACTACCTACATTGTAAGAGCATGTTTAGGACTTAATGATTTCATATACGTGAAAGATTTAGATTTATGCCTACCACAGGTTAGTTCCATATCATATGAGATATTACTTTTATAATTTGGAGACACTAAGACCAATAGGCCGCATTCTCATCTCTCCTTTTTAATTTCAAAGCTGGTGAGCTCTGGCAGACAATTTTAATTAGCTGTCCTCAGGGACCTTTTCAGTGTCCTAGTATGACAGACAGAAAGATAACATCTTTTACAAAGTGAAAAGTCCTTCAAATTATGAAACACACTCTTGAAATTATAATTTCCTGACAGAGTATCATTTATTATATTCTAGTGCAAGATAATGCTCTTATGTTTTTAAGATAAAAGACTTCCTCTCTGGACATTTATAATTATTCTATGAAAATATTCTATCTTGGGAATAGAGGGTCGGTAATATGATCTTTGCTACATGTCTATTCAAATGATGCTGCAATGCAAAGGATTTGGAATAGTTGCTGTTTCTCTAATTTTATTTTTCCATTCCCAAATACCATGAATAACCATACCAAGTGATGACATCTCTGAAGAAAGAGAAACTGAACATCTATGTAAAACACTATCCACAAATTCTTGGCTTTTATTCCATATTTGCTTACTATTCAATTCCAGATACATCTCCTAATATTATTCTTTGTGATACTATGGAACTATTACTTTAAAATGAAGTTAATAAAGTCCTTAATTAGAATATGTGGGTTGCTCTGACATACTTATAGATCCATCTGGCAGTAAAAATCCATCTAGAATTTAAAATGCATGTGTTCAAAAATGATATGAGAACTAAAAACAAGTGTAAATTATTGTTGCTAGAAAAATGATTTGATTCTTTTTCAGACTTGCATTAATAATCTCTGCAACTAACAATAGGATTTTGCAGGTTTTATTTTATTTAATGCTTAAGATTCTGCTGCGATGCCTGATGGACAGCATATTAGGTTATATCTTTAATATCATGCAAATTCTTGAATGGTCTGTCATGTGTCATTTTCTCCTAGTCTGTGGTACACAAAGAACAACACTGATGGCAGAATATTTTTAGAAATTACATGAGGTCTGAAAAGTTGTAAAAGATTAATGAATATGGTAGCTCTTGCCTAATGCAAAAAAAAAAAACCTTTACAAAATTGGTTTTTAAACTGAATTTATTTTTAAAGCATCCATCAAGACATAAAACTATATATACTAGTGTGCCACCCTGTAATATTTGTATAAATACATTGGGCAATGTTTCAATCAGTTACCTATTTCCTCAAAGATTTATCATTTCTCTAACCTTTATTTCGGTAAAGAAACAAATAAAGGCCTCATTAAAACACAAAGAAGCAAGCTGACTCCAGCCTGGTTCCATCAGAACGCATCTGCATCAGAAAAGAAGTGGAGCAGTTGTTTTACTTTACAAGTGGTTAAGATTTAGCACCTCAGCCTTCCAGAAATTGTTTGATTTGGGGCTTCATGACACAGGCTTCGCCATAGGGCAAAACTGATATTGAAATTGGCGCTCGGCTTCTGGTTAGAAATGATGCCAAGCTCTAATTCAGTCTAAATTCAAACAGTAACTTATAGTGACATTTTAGAAAAAAGTTAGGTGGGTTCCCACCCACATATGTAATTGCACTTCCCTTGGTAATCTGAAACAAGGTGAGGTGTTGCCTGAATCATATACTACCACTTTGGAGTATAAGATTATGATATTGAGTGTGATCATTTTAACTTCTCTTTCAGATCAGCATTTTCATGACACATCTATCTAACTATGGGAATGACCGCCTAGGCTTGTACACCTTTGTGAACTTGGCCAACTTTGTACACAGCTGGACCAACTTGAAACTGCAGACTCTGCCTCCAGTACAACTGGCCCGCAAGTACTTCGAGCTCTTCCCTGAGCAGAAAGATCCTCTCTGGCAGGTAACATTTAAACCTTCTTTCCTTGGGAAGGAAAAACTTTGGCAATGTGTTACTGTTTAACTTGTGTTAGAAACTTCTTAAACAAATACTAAGCCAAATAAATATGTATTTATAATACGAACGATTCCCCTTTCCAACTGTCATATGATCTTCAATAATATTTTTGTATCTCTTACAATTTAAATGTTTAGATTTGTAATTTTATTTTGCTTGTTTGTTCAAATCATTTGGAAGCTTGGCAATAAGGATGGTGTTTTATTGTTGGAGTTCTGACCAAGCAAATGCTTTAGACTTACATGTGATGCGAGTACTGACTAGCTGTAAAATGGTCGGTATTACACAGCTCTGGAGACTAAACACAGAAACAGAAAAGAGTCTCTGTAACCCAAGGTCTGGTCCCCAAACCTGAGTATGTATATGTCCACGACAGGGCACATTAATAAGAGAAGAGCAGCCTCTTGCCTGTGTTTATAAGGATTTAGTGTCTGTGTGTTTTATTTCACTTTTAAGTCTAATTTCAGTAATGCTAGGCCTATCGATAAAAGAGAGACTTGTCAGTTTTAGGATGGCTTTTACTTCTAATTTGACTCTATGTGAGGCCACACAGCTTGAAGGCATCAAATGTAAACTATCTCTTCTTAGCAGTTATCTAGGAAGCACTGCCTCCCACTTACTTGGTTCTTTATGCATCAGATTGCATCGACCCACACAATCAATGAGCTGACTGCGGAGAGCAGATCAGATGTTCCCCTGCTAAGCAGTCGGTAGAAAAGTAGCATCATCATTAATGAGAAATTACTGCAAAGCAGACCTTCAAAATCATCTCCATTTCCTGTCTTCAGGACTATTTTGCTTCCCTTTATTCCATGAATCACATCATACAGCGCTGTGTCTGTATGCCCAGGGATTCTCTCCAGCTATGTTCATTGAGGATCTGCCATGCACACAGCAAAGCTAGCTCTAGGCATGCAATGAAGAATAAAAAACTACATTTTCTCTCTACTTCAGAGGAGGACTTTTACTATGTTTTAAAATGAACACTTGCCTCAAATCATGTCATCTTTAGATGAATTATCAACAACCACCCACTACATAGGCTTACAGTAGACTCTCTGTTATAAGGGAAATCAATTATTTTTACACTCAAATATGTGTGTGTGATTTTTAATTGAAAATAGATTCTTTGCTCATACAATGAATCCTGATCACAGTTTTCCCTCTCTCCACCCCTCCAGCTCCCCCTACCACCTCCCCTCTACCAGAGATCCTCTCCCCCTCCATTTCTTCTTCAGAAAGGAATAGGGCTCCAATAGATGGCAGTCAAACAGAACAAAATAAGATACAATAAAACAAGGCAAAAGTCCTCATAGCAAGGCTGGAGAAGGCAACCCAACAGGAGGAAAAGAGTCCCAAGAACAGGCAAAAGAGTTAGAGATACACCCAGTCCTACTGTTAGGAGTTCCTCTAAAAATGCCAAGCTAATAGCCATATATATAATACATCAATAAAAATCCTAATTAATAAGTATCCTAGATAGGTTGTTGACATATAAATGATTCAGTTAGCTCAGTGGCTCCAAGCTCTAATCTGTCTTTTAGGGAAAATAACACTTCCTTAAACATCAAAATGTATTTTTTTCTTCAGATTGTTTGAATTCAGCAATATCAACAAAAGTATTTTCATAATATTTAGATATCATTAATATTGATATTTAACATTTAACATTATTGATTAATTTGTTTATGGTGCATAAAGTGTATTGTGGATGTGGATTTGGGTGTGCACTTCCCACTGTATGAGTGAGGAAGAGTGAGGACTACTTTGTAGAGTGAAGAGTACTAAATATATGAGATTTTTAGAGCATTTGACTTATTGCAGGAAACTGGATACACTTTACCAATCAAAAGTAATGTGGAAAATGAAGTTGGTGAAGAGATAATAAAGTATATAAGACTCAGAGTTACCCTTGCCCTGCTTGCTTCTACTTTCACTTTCAAATCGATGATAACAATCCAAAATGAAATTACCCTCATTTCCTACATGTAAGCAAAACCAGAATTAGTTGTTAAATATTTTGCACACTTCCCATCATGACCTAGAATTAGAAAAGACAAATAGTATATCGTTATTGCTGTTACACATTCAGGAACATTTTATATTTATGAGTATAACTTCTTATTTACTACTCTTCACTTGTAGATAGAAATCAACTGCTATTTTCCTTTACATTTCAATTCACACTTTTTTTATTACTACAAATAGAAAGAAAAAGTGCAAAATGGTAATCTTCACATCTGTTTAATTCCTTTGGTTCCTTACGCAAATTTCATTAGCACCAACTGTTCTATACGTGGGACTACTTTGTCACCTAATTAAAAAGTGCAATGTGAATATCTGCCAATAGGCAGCATGATCAGCAGCTACAAAATATCACATGGGAAATTGGTTCTTCTAAAGCTGCTCAACACAGATGTATATATCCATGCACACACAAAGAAATGTAATTCCCAAATTGCCTCCACATCACCTTTGTCTCTACTATGTAAGAGTTTTAAAATTATACTCATGGGTCCTTTTAAGGGATAAAAATAAGATACCTTAATTTTTGATAGAATAATAAATGCAGAGCATGGAAAAATAATTTTCTTCTTAAACACAAATGTACACATGTACATGAGAACACATACAGACACACACACACACACACACACACACACACACACACACACACTCATGAACAAACAAACAAAAAACTTCTATTGTAGGAACCAAAGCCACAAACATGGAGACAGTGGGAAGGTCAAATTCGCACACACTCTAATCAATGCTCTTAAGCTCCCAAGCTGTCAGGTTAGCTCAGCCTCAATCTTCCTTCAGCCTCTCAGGAGTCTCACTGTCAACAAACAGTGGATTCTTGCTTACTGTGTGTCCAGGAAAGTGCTAAAACATGTCTTCTAGGCCTCTACCAGTGTCTCCAGAGTTAAAAAAGGGGGGGGGAGTAAATCCTCGTTTTTTAATGGCAGGTGTCTAGCACTTTGGTTGATTCTAAATATCAAAGCATTGGTTTCTAGTTAGAAATGATGAAATTTTAATATCCATCTTATCAATAAATCACAAAACAGGTAACATCATCACTGTGCCTGCTATTTATATTTGTCTATTGAAGTAACAATTGAACGCTGACACCGAGTGATAGACAGTAAGAACAGAACAAGTTAGGGACATTTAACCCAATCTTGGGAACTGAAATAAGTCTCTTGACTTACCAGAGATGAACTGGGGTGAAGTCCAGGATTTCTTATTCCTTCTCAGATGCAGTTTGGTGATTTTACACTTAGAAAGACAAGTCTCTTTCTATCATGGGCTCTCTATTTGAAGCTTGGAAGAATCTGGTGATGGGTTCAGTGGGATTTTGGTAAACCTAAACTTCAGAAATAGTTATATAACAAAGGAAAGTTGTACTACCATGAGATTTATAAACTGCAATAGCTTCATATTGTGTTAAAAATAGTATTGTAAATTTGTTTTCATATTTTTTACTCTCTTTACCATTTGCTAGCTTATTTATAATTCAGTTACAACATTACCATCCATAGTTACAGAGACAGGTGGTGGCACACGCCTTTAATCCCAGCACTCAGGAGGCAGAGGCACGCAGATCTCTATGAGTTTGAGACCAGCCTGGTCTAAAAGAGCTGGATCCAGGACAGTCTCCAAAGCCACAGAGAAACCCTGTCTCGGAAAAAAAAAAAGAGACAGATGTAATGGGAGGAAAACCTAGAAATGGGTAGATGTCCTCATATAAACTTGGAAGCTTCCTGTGAATTTGGATTGGATTAGATCTGTAGTAAAGAGCAGTGAGTTCTGAAAGTAGGAAGGAAACGACAAAAGAAAACCTTGGAACCACTGTGGTGTTCCATGTCTGTGAATTCAGTACTGTGGAGAGCTGAGGTAGATACATCACAAATCCAAGGCCAGCCTGAGCTACCTGTAAGTGTGATCTTCTGTTAGTTACTTTTCTCATGTCATTGACAAAATGTCCAATAGCATCACTTGTTATCCAATAAATAAAAATAGATTGCACTGTTCATAGTTGAGAGAATTCAGCCCGTCAAGGCAGTGAGGGCATGATGGAATGTAGCAGTGCACATCATGGTGGGCAGAGAGACAGAGGAATGGGAATTAGCTTCCTTCTTCTTTTACCTTATATTCATCTTGGCTCACCAGCCTATGGCATGATAACATTCAGGGTAGGTCTCCCTTCTTCATTTAAATCGTTCATTAAATGTCTTTACAGATATACCTTAGAGGAGCATCTCAACCTTTTAGATGCTTCTCAATCCTCTGGAGTTGCTATCTCAGCAAATTGAAAAAGGAGGAAAGAAGTAAAGAGAGATGGTTTGCAGAGATAATTCCATAAACTCTTTATAGGACAACAAAGAATAGACAGACATAAAGTTAGGAAAATAATCTATCTCAGAGGGAGAGGAGCTCTAAATGGAATTCTGTCAGTAGACAGTGATGCCTTAAAAGGCAACAGGCTGAAGATGTTTGCAGGTGAGTCGAAAGAAAGGGTTATTAGTGTTTAATTACCCCATGTCAAGAAGAAAACAATATTTTTAAGCTTTGGTCTGTCTCTTTCAGGCTTTCTACCAAAGTGGTCAATGTAGTTCTGATTATTTAGTTACATATTTATTAATTGAAACACCTTAATAATTAACATATATTAATTATTTTCTCAATGAAAAGTTGTCTATGTATTAACTCTACCTACCTTTCTTTTCCTTACTCAACAACACTGTTTCTTATACTCTAAGAATGCTTGCCAAATATAGAAATAATTATCCTCAGTTGTGTAATCTTTAGTGAAGTCCACCATCATTTTGATTCTACAATCTGTCAGAGATTGTGAGAACTGAAAATGATGACATAATTCTTGGGTGTTCCATTTCCCATCCATCATTTGCAGATATGTTCTTGTCGAGCACCAAACTAACCAT